CCTTTAGCATTAGCCCCTTCCCAAGCCCAGCTCTGGTGTCTGGCGACAGCACAGTAAATCCTCAGTTACAAATTACAGCTAGGACAGTCCAGTGCAGAGGTAAACTGAGAAGGACATAGCTACTCCCCCATATAATCAATCACTGTGGTACTGGAGCCAAGCATTACTGCACTGATCCTCACTCCCCAGCCCAAGCAGTATGGTGCTGTCATTATCCAACTTGTGCAGATGGTGAGTAAGTAATTTGACTGAGGACACAGAGGGAATATGTGGTAGAACTAAGGGTTGAATTCAGTGCCTCCCAAGTGGAGGCCCGGTGCTTGCTATCATAATTCATATTCCAGTAGCCCCTTGAAGTCCCAGGTCGGGGGCTATAGGCACATAAGGGGTGAGTGTCCCTCCCCTGAAGAAGTTATACTCTAAAGCAGGGATCAGCAGCCTACAGCCCATGGGCTGGATCCAGCTCTCAGAACCAGTGGGTCTGGCCTGCAGATATAGGGTTTCAGCTGTAGACACCTGCCCTGTGCGGCAGTGAAGGCAAGCAGCAGCAGCCAGGTCATTGTGCCCACCCTCCACCCACTGGGGTGGGTTATTCTGGCCCACAGGCAGAAAAGGTTACCAACTCCAATCTAAAGGGACAAACAAGCCAAGAAAAATGTTATCTAGGCCCCTTTTCACAGCTGGGGAACAGCAGCAGTGAGAAATAAAGTGGCTTGCTCAGGGTGGCCCAGACAGTATGTGGTAAAGCTTGGAACTGAACACAGGTATCCTGTGTCATAGTCCCATGCACCACAACTCATTCTCCTCACTCTGTGAGCACCACAGCTCTTCTGTCCAAAATGACATTTCTTACTAAGGCACCTGAGAATAAAAGCAGACTCCCCATGAGGATGCAGTGCCATGCCACAGTCGCTTGGAGAATGTAGTCACTGGCTCTGCAGGCGGGTACAGTTCCTAGGGCTTTCAGTTGACAGTGCCCATGGTGAGAAAGTATAGCTTGTTATCCACTGCCTCTGCCCCACTGCAGGGCTTGTGCTCCCCCACTCTTCTAAGGAGCGCTGCGAGATCCCAGGTCCCCACAGAGGAACAAGCTTTTTCATGTTCCCAGGTCCCCAAAAAGGAACAAGCTTTTTCATGTTCATCCCCCACAACTCAATTCACTTGACTCAGTATTGTTGGGATATGGAGAGGGTCATTCCAGGATGCCTTGATGCTTCCAGGCTGAGGTTGCGTGACTAAATCACCCTCCTTGACCAGGCGGGTTTGGAATTAAGGCCAGGCTCATTTTCTGGCACTGATCTGGTCTCTCACCAGGTCCTAGTGAATAATGGTATAACAAAGCAGCTTGCTTAGTCTCCACAGTGATGCAGGAAGGATTCCAGGAAGCAGAGCCCTCCCCCGCTCCCCCTTCTCTGCCTGCCTGAAAGCAGGGAAGCTGGATTCATATTTCTTCAAAAGCTCTGGGTACTGAATTAAGCTCTAACGCATCCCAGCCATCTACAGCATGACAGCCTGTCCCGCTACCGACAGAATCTGTCCCTACAGATCTCTCGCTGTCACGCTCACTTAGCTTCCAAATTTGCTTCAAAGCCATGTTGGCTGCTTTAGAACAGGGAAATGTTTCACCGCCAGAGCCCTTGTCTTGGGAACGGAGCATTCAGGGGAGAGATAAGCAGCACAGCCAAGGGAAAGCAAATACTGCAGCTGCTTGAAGATGAAGACTCAGGAGAACTTCAAGATCCATGATCACTTAAACGGTCATTGACGAGCTGATGAATTCTCTCTGCTGCAGACAAATGAAGTTGCCTGCAGCTGAGACCTGTGGCATCCATTCAGACACAAAACAATCAGAGCAATTAAAGCAATGGACTGGGAGCCAGGAGGAGTTGGGTCAATTCCTGGTGCTGCCCCAGGCTTCCCAGGTAGCTTTGGTCAAGTGACTTAATCTCTATGCCTTAGTCCCCACTTCTGTAAACTAGGGCTGATGGTTCTGTCTCGCCTATTTGTACTGCAAGTTCCTTGAGTAGGGAATGGCCCCTGTCTGCCACTGTGATCTCAGCTAATCCTCTCCAGCCATAGCCCTAACAATAAAGCCAAGATGATCCAGCAGAGCAATGAGGAAGAAGCTCCCAAGCGCTGTCCTTCAGGCTAGGAGCTCCCCTGCTGTCCCATTCTACTGCCCCCACACTCCAGTGTCCTACACGCTGGGTCATTTTAGGAGAGGCTAAGTCAGAGTAAGGCAGGTCCATAGCCCCAGAGGAACAGGTCCTTCTCACCCTCTTCCCGTTGCCTGGGAGTGAGATTACATGTGGGGGTCTATTTGCAAAGTGCTCTCCGATCAGGGAAAGATGGTGGATCACTTGAACACATCATTGACTCCAGGGCATTGCAGACACTACCCACTACACTCTACTGCTAGACATGACCTGCAACAGTTGGTGTCTTATTTTCCAATAAAATGAAATAAAGTGAAATAAAATAAAATAAAACAATCATGCTCCAAGTCAAATCAGCCAAATCAATTCCAGATTCATGAATCATCCAAGAACCATATATGGCCGTACTACTGGCAAACATCCTCTACCTCAACCTGGGGCTTCAGATGTTTCCAAATCATGAGGTGGGCATCCTACATGCAGGACCAAACCCAGAGGCTTTGGGGTTTGGATGCCCCCAGATTTTGCTTGCCCTCAGCCATATGGCTGCAGGAGCAAGCTAGGGAGGAGTCTCCCAGTTCCATAAAGTGGGCGTAAAGCCAAGATCTTCCCACTGGAAATAAAAGTGGGAGGGTAAGTATACATTACCTCTGCCCCGGTACTAACCCATACCAGAACAGTGGTTATCTCCCATCACTGGGAAAACCACTATGGTGAACATGGTATTTCCCCTGCCATGTACAGTTGTCTTCCTGAAGGCACTCACATTCCTCAGAGCTGTCCATCCCTAACCTGTAACTCCTATTCCACCCTGTTCAAGTGCCTGAAATCCTGTTAATGTAAGGCAGGTAGAACCCTTTCCTTGCTTGCCTTTGTGGGTCATTCTTAAAGCCAAGACAAAAGTATGTTACAAAAGCAGGAGCATTCATGTTTTTTCAGGCATTTGGGCAGGGTGGAACATGATCACACAAGTGCCAAGTGTGCACAAGGGGGTGGAGTAGGATGCGACTAAGTGTGTGCACAGGGGGACTCAGTGCCTTGTGATTTCAGGTGTAGCTTACTGCAAGACAAGTGCAAAACTACATGCAGGCTGTGCTTTCTTTGTAGCATCCCAAAGGTTTGCAGCTACTCATCTGAAATGGCACAGAAGCAACATCCTCACTCACAGCAGAACTGACAATCTTGCCCTGAGGGGCCTGCAGAACAGAGTTAAGAAAGAGACAGGAAAAAAGAAAAAACCAAGTCCCAGGAGTCAAGTGTCTCAAGAGATTTGTGCAGTTGACAGGGGAAGACTTGGACTACCCAAGTGCATTTTGGCCTTAGGCAACAGTCTCAACACCCACACCAGAAGGGGAGATGGCTCCATGGTAAGGGTGCCAATCTAAAACCTGGGAGACCCAGGTTCCATCCCATGCCAAGGCTGCCCATGTAATTCTGAGCAAGTTACTTTGCCTCCTTCTGCAGAGGCTGCGGGGGAAACATGGGCACTGTAGGCTTCTCCTGGTGGCTTGTTCTCTGCAATTCTTCCAACATCCATGTCACTTTGGCGTTAATGCAAAACGAGTGAGTCAGACACAGACTCCATCTGGAGTCCCTGGTCAACCCTGCACAAACTGCCTGATTGAAGAAGCCCATTGGCCACTGCAGGGCTGCTGACTGCAAGGTGGGGGCAGGCAAGATGGTATGGTGAGGACATGAATTCAGCCAAGGGCACAGGGACAAAGCCCTGCTGCAGCAAGCACCCACAGGACCTCCCACAGCTCTGCAGGACCTTGGGGTGAAGGCCTCACTGCAGAGCACCTCCCCCAGCTGTGCAAATGGCATGGGACTCCCTGCACTGCTTTAGAAGAGCACTGAAGCCCCTCTGCCAGGATGCAGTCCTGCTTTGCTACTGCCCAAATGGCACTACCCTCTGGGATGGACAGAAGCAGTGCAGCACCCCCCTTCCACCTCCCCCCACAGCCCTGAAATCCATTTCCCGGCTGCACAAAGTGCTTTTTCTGTTGAGTCAGCTGGCGCACTGCCAGCACGGGAAAGGCTGAGACTCCGGCTGCAGTGCAGATTCTATTAAAGGGCTATTTTTATCCTCTGTCTCAATCTGATTCAGCACAGGCAGCAGGGAGGGCAGGCAGCTGAAGGATACAGATGAAGCCAAGAGGAGATGGGGAAAGTGTAGAGGGGAAAATCTAAAGGGTGAATGTGCTGCAGACTGGGGGGAGCCAGTGACATTTCAGGAAGGGACAAAGGCAGACCCCAATATGGGGCAGCACCCTGTGGCCTCCGGAGCCCACTGGTTACGTACCAGGCTCCTGAGCAAAGCCTGCACCCACTTTAAATCTGTCACAGGCTCTTAGCAGGGGCCCATGCAAACTCCCACAGCAGTGGGCTCACTATTCCATCACCCCAGTCCTCTCTCTCCATGGCATGGAGCTCACAGGAAGAGTGGAAGAGGCTCTTCTATGCTGGGAAGTCTCCTCAGTTTCAGCTTCTCTGAAAATATCCACCTTCTCCAGAGACAGGTGGGACAGGCTTTTCCAGCCCTGAAACAAAGTCATCTCTCAGTCCCAGAAGGGTTTGGAGGGCGTAGGTGGAAAGGACCTGATAGGCATAGAGATGAGAAGTAACAGGTGTCCAGTGGTAATGAGCATCCTCTTCCTCAAGGGAGCCAGGCCCCTGGAGAGCTGGCTGGGACTGCTTCAGAGAGGCTGTGAGCATCCTGAACAATACACCCATCCCCAGCCAGCAAGCCAGGCATCTCTCTCAGCAGTGGCACAGCTAATCCCTTCTCTGCAACCCCCACCAGGTGCCGGAACCACGCTCAGAAGCAGGAAGCAGAGAGAGGGGTTCCTTTATCTAAAATTTAATACTTAAAAAAACAACAACAAAAAACCTTCTGGAAACAAACCACTCTGGAATGAATGGATGGGAACTCTGAGCTGGGCATGAGACCAGCAGTTGGTTACAGACTAAGGGGCTGAGAAGTCCAGTGACTTGAGGCCGTGGAGCTAAGTGATGCGTCAGCGATGACTGAAGAAGCCCTGAGGATGGTTAAACTTGAATGGCTTCATCCGGCTGGGCCCCCTGGAGGAGGAGACAGAAGGTTAGCGTACGGGGCAGGATGCAGAGAGTGCTGACGGCTCTATGGTGAGGGGCCTGCTTCCATCAGAGCCCAGCACAGAAACCTAGAGGGTAGCCTTGGAACCTATCCCAAACCCAGGGACCAAGGCTGATGTGGACTCACTGCAGCTGAGAGTTTTGGTTTCACTCATGGGGCCTGTCTGCAAACACAGAACTGCCAGGACAACTGGGCTCAATATAGGCCAGGGCAGGGACAGCTGGGAGTTAGGCTGGATTCTGGTGCAGTTGCCAGGAGGAAAGAGGGTCAGGACTGAGATAGCTGTGCTGTACAGGGGAGGCCAGTACAGTGACAGCACCAAGGCTTAGAGTGTGTGGGGGGCAACTGGCGACACAGAGACTAGTGCTCAGGATCAGATGTGGGGAGATGAGTGCACACTGTCCAGACAGAACCTGCTGGGCAGAATCAGAAGTGCTCAGCAGGAGCCCCCAGCAAGGGTGGACACACAAGAGGCAGTTTCTGGACCAGGACTCCTGTCTGGAGGATAAGACAAGGCACAGGGACAAACCAAGGAGGTTACTTATGATTAAATGTTGGTAGAGGCCCAGCACAGCCTCCTTGGCAAAGGAAGAGGAGCTGCCATCTATTGTATCACACAGCACAGAGCAAGGGCCAGCTACCAAACACAATAGCTTTAGCTCGCAGGTAGGGCACTGAGCGGCTCCGCCAGGGACCAGAGGTACTCGAGGTTCAGGATTCCATCCAAGACTGTGATGCAGCTCAGTCATGGGAAGAGAGACAGTGAGGGGAGACATGAGCTACAGAGATCAGAGCACAGAATATGCTCAATGGTGGTGCTGTGCTGACTCATCTCCAGGTGGGACATGAGCTCTATTTACAGCTCCTACCTTTACCCACAGAGCTCCAGCAGCAAAACTCCAAGTGTGGGTACATGTGCAGCCCCTCTTCTGTACTGGGAGCCACTCCACCTCTGCCCACCAGGGAAAGGTTCTGCTGCCTGGCAGCCAGTTACTTCCTGTTATACCCTTTTCATCCGAGGGACCCATGCCACTTGGCACATCTCAGCGCTCCCAAACTCCATGGCCTGCTCCTGGCAGCCAGTTGGGCCAAAGATCCTTGCAGATACTCACCTGACGAGCCGCAGGCACATCTTCTCCTGGGGGAACTCCTTGGGGCCCTCCACGCTGTTGTCATGGGACTCCGTTTCCAGGTAGACATCCAGAATGACACACAAGCGCTGCAGCTGATTGGTCAGGAGCTGGTAGCCAGGCTTTGGCCCACTCAGCTCCTTGTAGAAGACACTGACCTCGCTCTCCATAGCCTGCAGGAAACAGCGGGTGAGACTACCCCTGTGAGGCCATTCTGGGGGGCTCCAGTCAGCTCTCACACATTACTCTATCCTTCCTGCTTTAGGGCTCATCACCATCTCCACTTCCCCGCTGCAGGAACCTCAAGGGTCACATACTCCCTCCCCCTCTACAGATGGAAGTTTCATTGCTTCTGAAGCACCCATTTCTGCTCCCTTCGTTGGCAGCTGGAGAGGCAACTCCACACCTTCCCTTGGCAGTTTGTTCCATTTTCTACTGTTTTCAGGGTAAAGATGTTTTCCCAGAGGTCTGATCTAAAGGTGTGTTGCTGTTGTTTAAGCACACTGCCAGGGGGTCTCCAAGTCAAGGGAAATAACCTCTCCTCTCCTTCGCAGCAGCCTTTCAAATACTTGAAACCTACAGCTAGGTCCCCTCCCCACCAGATATTCGTATGTCCAAACTACAAATAACCAGTTCTTTCAACCGTTCTTGGTACAACTTACTTCCCAATCCTTTCCTTACGGTCACTGCTCACCTCTGGACCTTCCCCAGTTTCCCTA